TTTTTTTAAAAAAATTTTCAATAATAAAAACAAAAAAAAGAATGTGGGTGCTTGGCAACAGGCATGATTGCAGTGTCGGGGGGGGGGGGAATCACATGTTCACTATTTGCAGCCTTCCAAGCTTTCTGCCAGCGGGCAAAGTCATCAGGGGAAGTTGGATGTATTTAACAACCAACTGATTCACTTAACAACTGCAGGGATTTGCTTAACTGTGGGGGAAAGACCATAAAATTGGGCATGATTTACTTAATAATCGCCTTGCTTAACAATAGAGATTCTGGTCCTGATTGTGGTTATAAGTCAAGGGACTATCCGAGTGCTATTTTCATATAATGCATAATTGTTGCAGAATGAATTCCTAATTAAAATTTCCCTCCTCTCTGATCTAAATTGGCATTAATCATCACAGGACAAAGAGCAGTTTTAGAGCAGGTTAAATTCAACAAATTGAAAAAAGGTGTTGACATTCACAGATGTCATAAAAATACATACAAATCATCTTTGACAGATACATAAATTGGCAACAATACATTTATCTATGTATGCACATTTTTTGCTATGTTAAGAGACAACTTTGATATGGCTTTTAAATTACATATGAACATTTGATTGATTTAGGAACAGCTCCCCCCCACCCCACCCAAGGCTTCCAAGGAGCATTTCAGGTTTTAAATTCTTTTTCAAGAATTCTCCAGCCTTTTCTTACCTGAACTACAGAATGCAAAGGCATAGGTGGCGATTTAGCTTTCTCATCCTCTATCAGTCCAGTGGCTACAAAGCTGAATCCTCGGAAGAGCTGATGGGCTCCTGCACTTGGTGGAACTCCGGGTGAATCTAGAACAAAAATGAGGGAAACAAATATTAGAACTCAAGTCAATGGAAAGCATGTTAGGAACTTGTACCACTAGCTATTCCTTCCCCAAACATCCAAGACAGAGGTAGGACAAGAGCTGGCTGGGGAATTCTGGGAGTTGAAGTCCGTGCATCTTAAAAGTTGCCAAGTTTGAAAAAGTCAGCTCTAATATTTAGACACAAAGACCAGAATGAGGAACCCAGTGGTGTTGGACCAACTCCTTTCCCTCTGACCACTGTTGGCTTGGAGGTGAGAGTCCAACATCTGGAGAGTTTGATGTTCTCCATATCTGCCATTTCTTCAATCCCATTAACCACAGGAACGTAAAATGCTCATCTGAGATGTACAGAAAGGAAAGAATTGTACAGAGAGTCCCAATGCCTCTTTTTATGAGTACTGCATCCAGTTTTGGTCACCCCACTATAAAAAAGAGGTTGAGACTCTAGAAAAAGTGCAGGGAAGAGCAACCAGGATGATTAGGGAACTGGAGGCTAAAACATATGATGAATGGTTTCAGGAACTGGGAATGGCTAGTCTAGTGAAGAGAAGAACCAGGGGAGACATGATAGCAGTTTTCCAATATTTGAGGGCTGCCATAGAGAGGAGGGAGTCAAGCTATTTTCCAAAGCACCTGAAGGCTAGAAAAAGGAATAATGGATGGAAACTGACCAAGGAGAGATTCAATCTAGAAATAAGGAGAAATGTTCTGACCGTGAGAACGATCAACCTGTGAAACAGAAGTTGCCTTCTGAAGTTGTGGGAGCTTCATCCCTGGAGGCTTTCAAGAAGGGACTGGACTGGCATCTGTCAGAAATGGTGTAGGGTCTTCTGCTTGGGGGGGGGAGGGGAGTCGGACTAGATGACCTATAAGGTCCCTTCCAACTCTCTTAATCTGTTAAAATGTTATATTTATTTTGTGTGATGTCACTTTTGGGAAACAAAACACCTTTTCTCTGTATTGGGAGAGAGTTCAGGATCCCAAATCTGGCTGAACCTGATATATGCAACAAAAGCCACGAGAAAAGGCCAAGGAAGGCAAGAATCTGGTTCTCGTGGGTATGAATGGAATGATTTTAAAATGGAGGCAACGGCTATTTCTGTGTCCTATGAACAGGTGTCCATAGTGTCCATAAAGGTGAATACAGGTACATACACACATACCCTCTTGTCTTCAAATTATTAAAAGCCAAACGCCAACCTTTGGGTGTGCGGGACGTAAATTCTTTGTCAAAATAAAAGGTATCGTCTGGGCGGCCCACAGCAGGTTTGAACGGTGGCTTGATTTCTCGACGGAAAAGCTTCTGGAGGATGAAAAATCATACCGGAATAAGAGGGTTAGTATCAGGGTATGGATGCACCAAGAGAGCCAAAGGTGGAAAGCAAGAAATAAATCAGTCACAGGCTTCGTTTTTCATGGAACGATGCCCAAATATTTCAGCAGTACCAGTTTAGCTATCAGGAAGATGCCAAGCTGGGTTCTAATGGGTCGGCTACCTGCAAAAGTTTAAAAACCAAAAAAATATGTGTGTGCTGGGGGGACTCAAATCTATTGTTCCAGGAAACAAGCCAGCAGACCCAGAGTGGCTTCTATTTTGGTTTGCTCCAGAAACAATCCAAATCTACCTCCAAGTCATCCTCAACTGACAACCATTTGTTCAATCACCATTCAAAGCTACAACCGCACTGAAAAAAAGTGACTTAGAACCATTCCTTGCATTTCAGATTATAGCAACACCCGCCTGGTCGCGTGATCAAAATTTGGGCTTGGCAACTGCCATGTATCTACACCAATTGCAGTGCCCCAGGGTCATGTGGTCACCATTTGCGACCTTCCCGGCTGACGTCTGACAAGCAAACTCAAGGGGAGAAGCTGGATTCGCTGAACAGCCACATGATTCACTTAACAACTGCAGCGATTTGTTTTCACTGTGACACAAAAGGTTGTAAAATTGGGGGCGGCTCACTTAATGATGACCATGCTTGGCAACACAAATTCTGATGCCAATAATGGTCGTTAAGTCGAGGACTACCTGTATTGTCCTGAGGCTGAAACCGGAATTTTAAGATCGTACCAAATGAAACGGGAAGCAGACCAGAACAATTCACATACTCACATTCCAGTCAATGGTAGAGTAGAAAGGGTGACGTTTGATTTCTTCAACACCATCTGGGCCAGATCCTGCAAAGACAAGTGAACTCTTCTTGACAGGTTCTACACACCGTCTTAAGGTGGGCAACTAAGGCAACTTTACAACCTGTGGACTTCAACTCCCAGAATTTCTGTTAGCAATAGCAGTTAGACTTATATACCGCTTCATAGGGCTTTCAGCCCTCTCTAAGCGGTTTACAGAGTCAGCATATTGCCCCCACAATCCGGGTCCTCGTTTTACCCACCTCGGAAGGATGGAAGGCTGAGTCAACCCTGAGCCGGTGAGATTTGAACAGCCGAACTGCAGAACTGCAGTCAGCTGAAGTAGCCTGCAGTGCTACATTTAACCACTGCGCCACCTCGGCTCTTTGTTGGCTCAGGGATTCTGGGAGTTGAAGTCCACAGCCATAGTTGTGCACCCCTCATAAAGAATGTGCCTCTCCACCCCAGCAGCAGAATCCTTTTAGTCTGAGTGTGTTCTGACCAAGAGAAGAGCTTCCCGAGAACATGAAGCAAACTCCTTGTCCCAACAAAAAACCTTTTTATTAATTTACTGTGAATTCTGCTCATCACATCCAGCAAAGTCTTTCAAGGGAGGATTTACAGTCACAGACCTTATCTGGCTTGGAGAGCTGCCAGGCCAATATCTGCAAAACTTGGCAAGGAGTCTCAAGAGTCATGAACCAATTAAGCGAACTAATTGTCTCATGCAAACTCCGCTCCCCTTTCACTCTTTTATTTCCTCTGGGAGGGGCCATTCATCATCCACCTGTGGCCTTATTCCCAAGTCAACCCTCGTTCTTTAGCTGTTCCCTTTGTATGGCAACTCTGTGCATGCGCACACAGGGAACAGGCTCCAGCCATTCGTCTGCCTCACTAATGTCCGACTCTTAAGGCAGCTGATAACTGGCATACAGCTCTGCCCCCGACACAGAGCCCTCATCAGAGCCTTCCCCAGATTCCAGGACTGGCCCATGTTTCTCCCCAATTTTCTCACTGTCTGAATCTACTGCCAGCTCTGCTGGCCGCGGGCGGGCCATAACAGGGTGCTAGAATTCAACTTCTTGATTGTTTTTAGTTTTGACAAGTTTCAACAGTATCATGCTATGCAGAAAACCTGCTGAAAGGCTTACTGAGGTCCATCTGACTCCCTTGCGTCATGGACGGGCACACTGCGAGGATGCTCAGATGAGAAACTTGCACAAGGGTCTTACCTAACCTGTTGATTGGGTTCCTCTTGAAAAGGGCTCGCAGAAGACTTTGAGCTTCACAGCTTAGAAATTGGGGCATGCCCAGCTTTGCTCTAAATGAAAAGATATATATGTATAGATATATATGTGCAGAAGTGGACATGAGACAGCAAAGGGGGAGAAACCCTGCAGCACCCCCATTTTTCAACTTCCCAGTGACTCTCTTTGAGGATCAAAGTAGTCACTTGGCACAAACTAGCCAAGAGGCTCCAAATGACATCCCTCAAAGGCTTGGTTTGTAAAGAATGTGAAGAAAAAATGGTTGGACAACGCATAGAATTGAAGCCAGAATTATTTCTATTAGGTATTATAACAGAAGGCTATAGCAAAGGGTCAATATACCTAATACTTCACATCCTAACAGCAGTGAGAATGGTGTATGCACAGGAATTGAAAAGTGAAAACACCCCTTTGCAAAAGGAGATAATAAGGAAGGTATTAATTTGCGCAGAAATGGATAAACTAGAATTAAAAAACAAAGGAGACACGGGATATTATGACACATGGAATAGATTTTATCAATGGCTGGAAACACGAGGTGGGAGTCGGAACACGAAAAAATTAGGCTAAGTAGACCTGAAATGAGATATTATATATGTATCAGAATGAATATGTTGGTCAAAAATAATAGCACTGTGTAAGTAGTATGAGCTTAAATGAACTCCAGAGGATGGTAGAGGACAGGAAGGCCTGGAGGAACATTGTCCATGGGGTCGTGATGGGTCGGACACGACTTCGCAACTAACAACAGCAACAGAGGTTCAACAGAATTTCACAATTCCTGGTGGGTCCCAAAAGTTGCTTAGCTCTGAAATGGGTGGAAACCATCACCTGATTCCGAGATGAATTTATTCCAGGGGTTACAAATAGTGAGCCCTGCTTCACATTCCTTTTTATTTATTTATTTATAAATATATTTTTATTATTTACATAGGAGTATATCTAACACAGTGTGAGCGTCCTGGCATTTCATCCGCCATAGAAACCAAAGTGAAAGACAAATAACATATATACTACTGGTGAAACGCCCGGAAGCCTGGTGGGCATAATTCACTAGGGGAACACCCCCCTCATGGCCCAACCAGGTCTCCATAATGCACGCTAGGTCCGCTCTACCCTCTTGTATGAGGTCGTAAATGAGGGGAGCCTTATGTACCACGGACCTGGCGTTAAGCGATACCAGTAGTATATA